CTGTGTATTAAAGATTACATAGCCGTATCTTAAGATTATTTTCAATAAGTACCTATTTGCCAATTTTGTTTTATTTTAATTCCAAGAATTTCTTACAGGAATCGAATTATAAGTAAATAAATACCTTCCCAACAAATTTCACCGAAAATGCGATTATAGGTTTTCCATTTAGTAAGGAGGTCCAAGTTGTGTATTCTTAACAGTTTACTAAATGTCATTTAGTTGCAACTTGCAAAGTGCAGTGTGAATTCTAGTGTGATCATGGAAAATTTGGAAGGGCCTCGTAAACGACAAAAAATCGGTCCTTTAACAGTTAATGAAAAAACATTAATATTTAATTGTTTTAAATCATTTACAGACAAACATTTATGTAAAAGTGTTGACGACACAGTGGAATTAGTTAGTAGTACGCTTGGTGTTGGGAAATCTACGATTTACAGAGAAGAGAAATGTGGCGAGTTTCAAACAGCACGTAAAGCTCCAGGAAAACCAAAATTTCAATTAGAAAATCTTTTGAAAGAAAGACTTCGAAGGAAAGTGCATGCGTTCTTCTTTAGAAAAGAATTTCCGACAGTAGACAAAGTTCTTGCCACGGTTCGAGATGATTACCCTGAAATGAGTCGAAGCACACTATGGAAACTTTTAAAAGAAATAGGTTTTCTATGGAAAAAGCATTCCAGAAAGTCTATTTTAATAGAAAGAAGCGATATTGTAGTATGGAGAAGAAATTACCTAAGGACTATAAAATAAATGAGAAACCAAAGAAGAAATATATTTTATTTAGATGAAACATGGATCAACGAGGGACATAAACCAAATAAATTTTGTCAAGATGAAACTGTTACAAGTCGAAGACAGGCTTTTTTAAATAATTTATCTACTGGTTTAAATACACCATCAGGAAAGGGGCGCAGACTAATAATAGTACACATCGGTAGTTCAAACGGTTTTGTTAAAGGTGGTTTATTGACTTTTGAATCTACTCGTACCAGTGACTACCATGAGGACATGAATGCTGATGTCTTTAAAGACTGGTTCGAACAAATTATAGATCTTCTTCCTCAGAACTGCATAATAGTAATGGATAATGCAAGTTATCACTCGAGACTTATAGAAAAAATGCCCACAACCAAGTGGTTAAAAAAAGATTTACAGAATTGGCTAAATTCAAAGAAAAGTTCCATCCCGGTTCTGTGAGAAAAGAACTGTATCATTTATATTCCCTTCATAAAGAGAAATTCAAAAAATATGAAATTGATGAAATTGCAAAAAATCGTAGGATGATTGTGGTTAGATCACCACCATATCATTGCGAAGTAAACCTGATTGAACTGATATGGGCACAGATAAAGGGAGAAGTTTCAAGAAAAAATTATTCTTTTAAAATGAGTGATGTTAAACAGTTGTTTTTGGAGGCTGTAAATAATGTGAAGCCTGAAAACTGGGAAAAGGCAGTAAATCATACGATTAAAGAAGAAGAGAAAATGTGGAAGTTGGACAATATTACTGATGAAATGATCGAGCCACTCATTGTAAATATTGGTTGCGACAGTTCATCTTCTGATTTCGATTCTGATTTGGATTTGTAGGTAAGAAGTAGTTTTTATATTAAAATTATTATTATGAACGTAAAGTTGTTTAAAAGTAAAAGTTTAAACCCTTATACCTACATAACCCGTTTGACACAATGTTCTTAACGTACCTTGTGGAAAAATAAAACATTTTAGAAAAAATTGCACTTTTTTACCTTCAGCTGTTTAGAAGTTATAAGCAGGTTAATTAGGTGAAAATATAAGTGTATACTCGAGGAATAACTTCAAACAATATTTTAACTGTCTACTAAAAGAAGTGCTACGCCTATGGATTACGAACGCTTTATTATTTTAATACTCTCTCATACATAAAAATAGACTATAATATCAATAAAAATGCACCTTATATGTACAAGTACTTTTAAGTTTTGCCCTTTTTAAACACTAAATACAAACCGAAAATGATGATAATCAAAAAGCAAAGTAGGGATGTGAAGAAACCGAAGTCTATAATCGAGTATAACAAACAAAAGTTATAATGATTGATCAGGTAACATATATATTTTTGCATACTGATTTATTTAGAGAACACTAAAAATTTTTTTGTTGCAGATCAAATGAAATGAGGTTAAGTGATACAAAATCTTGACGTTGAACTGGTTATTGGTGCAGGTTTAATAAATGTCTACTACCTCCATCAAAGAGTAACCCAGAACTAAATGGCAATAATACAATATAGAGAAGACGTCATAAAAGGGCTTTTTAGATATCATGATATGCAACCAAAAACGTGAAGGACCAGACTTATGTAACAATAGAGATAAAAGGAACAAGCTTACGTTGGATGTATAAAAAAAGGTCGTTCAAAAAATAACTAAAAATAAAACCTATAAAACTAAGTTAAAATGCAATGAATGCTCCAAATATCTCTCTCTCAAATACTTTTCCAATACACATTATTCTAAGTTACACTAATATTACCTTATCAGAGTTCATTTTCTGTAAGTCAGTTAAGTTTAATGCGTAAAACAAATTGTCATTCACTTCGTATGTTTACTAGTTAAAAATTAAAGTAAAATAAATTATATACCTAGTATATTTGCAGTTTTTTATTAATATTGGCCTTGGTGGGTCACAAATATCCATTAATTAATAGGCCAAGTATAGCAAAATGTTACTAAAACACAAACACACTCCCATAAGAAATAAATGCAGGCGGTGCGCGGTGGTTCACAGCGATGCACCATAGCTAAATACATTTTCTAGCAATCCCCCAATGCCATTAAAACAAATATTGGCAATGGATTAGTTAAACCCATCATGGCACTCTACGTGTTAAAATTTGAATGCGACACAACTAGTTATAAACTCAGTTATAAGGAAAAAGGAAAAATTTTAATATTTGCTTCAAACAACATCCCATTAATAAATATTGAATAAATTTGTATGAAACCACCCCTGAGGTACCCCCTTTCTAACAAAATATATTTAGACGAATTAAAAATCTTCTCTTTTTTTGAGGTCGGTTAAAAATGATATTAAATTAATTACTAGAACTTACCAAAATTGTATATGAATATTAAAATAACAGCACTGTTAATATAAGAACCCATTTTGTACAATTATAGAATCCAGAATCACATACAATCGAATTTTCCAAATAAAAAATACTAAATTTGAGTTAAAAATTCGTATTTATATGTATTACCCTTCCAGAATTAAAAAACAAACATATATCGATACAGATTAGATGGGTTTTTACTATTCTACTAATATTAACAATAATTTTCATTCTTATGGTGTTTATTTTAGATAAAAATGTGTTTGACTTCATCATATTGTTATTCCCTTTGTGATACCACTTGGGAGTGCCTCTGATTCATAAAAGTTTATTAAGTAGATAGGTACCAATTCTTAGATTAAAGATTTTTTCTCATTACTAATTGTTTTTGAATAATTGTTAATGTGGTTAAGAGTTTATAAAATGGAACCAATTAAATACTTCAAAACAATATCCTTCCTGTATACCTATAATAAAAAATTCAGAGTGAAATCGATAGAATCCGATACGTTTTTGTACCATTTCAAAATTAATACGCTCTGTCTCTTTCGTCAATAATTTATTGCGGTAAATTTTAAATTTTTAAACACACCTTTTTCGCGAAAAATAACAAAACCGTTGGTTTATAAAAACAGGAAAAAAATACCTATCTAATGAATATGATAAAATATTCAGTTAAAAATTCTGTTTTTCTTTCGGAATGTAAGCCCCAAGCAAACCAGAAAAAAATGGGATTCTTTGCCAGATTTTTATAGATAGGTTACCTAGCTACCATTGGCGTACTACAGGATAATCAATTCAATTTTAGTATATTCTTATATTTGGTCAGAATACGCTAAATTAGTGGTGTAATTTTGGTTTCACAGATAATAATTACAGTGACAGTGGCTGTGATAGAGAGTGCATTTTGTTCGTTTTGTTTGCCTATATTATATAGTTTATACAATTTTTATAAAAAAATATTTTTTTACATTTTGTCAAATTTCTTGAATACGGACCATTTTAGGAAAATTTTATATAGAACAAAAAATATTGAAAATAATATTGTAAGTAACTCTTATTTAAAGAATGTTCTTCTCCAACCGTAAATAACAGATATTTATATTTCATAAAATATAAAAATGACCACCCATAAAGTACCCCCCCAGATGTTACGACATTGCCCAAAATCTAATCAGTTCATTAGACGCCACAATAAAGCTTAAGTTTGAAATTTGGTGTTTTTCTTTGTATCGGTTTATGAGTTATGGTGGATACAGACACACACACAGTGACACACAGACACACACACAGTGACACACAGACACACACACACATACACACACACACACACACACACACACACACACACACACACACACACACACACACACACACACACACACACACACACACACACACACACACACACACACACACACACAAACACACACACAAACACACACACAAACACACACACACACACACTGCTGTTTTATATATAGGCGGTTGTTATATATTGTATTATCTGAGTTGCGCAGTGTATAAACTGGAACATTGAGACAAAAAGTGCCGACGCAGAGTGAGCGATCTGATTCTTTAGCTATAAACTGTGTTATAGGGTTCAAAATGGCCGCGCCCTATGTTGGGCGTGTCGGACCTCTCTCTTGCCCCGTATAGTAATCAAAGTATGTGACTGGAACATTGAGATCAAAAGTGCCGACGCAAAGTGAGCGATCTGATTCTTTAGCTATAAACTGTGGCATAGGAATCAAAATAGCCGCGCCCTATGTTGGGCGTGTCGGACCTCTCTCTTGCACCGTATAGTAATCAAAGTATGTGCAATTTGTATTTTATAGTAAGGAAGTCGGTTTCCTTTAAATAAAAATCGTATTATTTTAAAATTGTCTTCATTTTTTTTTTATTTTACCAATCACTACAGTGATGACTATTTTCTTGACTTCGCAAATTAAAAACAGAACTGATTTTTAGAAAAAAAAAATTATCAAAACATACTAATTACAAACAAACAAGTACAAATAAATATCAAAGATTCTTGAACCCTGCCGATTCCATTGCACAGATCCACAGAGCAAACGGCGCAATCCTTTTTCATTATCCTCTTCTTTTGCAAATCCACGTCACCCATATCCTGTTTTATGTATTGCATGATGCGATCGGAGGGATTCCCGCAATAGTCAGGTTTTCCGCAGGATCTGAAGATCATTTCTGTCTCCTTTTCTTCATTTCCTTCGTTGCCCACCTCAAAAACTGGTAGACTAAATTAATGTGATGTCGCTATTTAGGCAACCAGTATTACTACTGTCATCGATATATTTTCGCCTCTATTAAATTGATCTTATTCGCCTTGTATTTTTACAGTCAGAATTGACAGATGACAAATAAACATAAAATTAGTGTGTAGAAGATTATTTAGACGGTACAACTGTAAACAAAAGCCAAAGACAAAATAAAGTTAGGTTAAAATCAACGAAAAAAAAAACTACTAGACGAATTTTGTTTACAAAAATCGAATTGCAAACATTCTCGATGGAAAGGAAGCAGAGGTGGTAAGGACTATTATTTTGGAACTTTCTAAATACTCCAGAGTAGGTATTTAGACTTTAAAATACTTAGCCAGAGAGCGTGGAAAGGGGGGTACTACCTATGATCATCTCGAACAAGACGTTTCATATACCTAATTGAGATCAAATTTCACTTCAGATAAGTTCGTTTGATATTTCAATTATTAAGTTTAATCACAAAATGGTGGGTATTTGAATAGATAAATTTTATCAACATAATGGATAAGCCATGTCATTCATTTTACTGAAATTAATATACATAATTTTATATATATATTTACAGATAATCGTAATAGTACTCAAAATTCTTAAATAAACACCGAAAATTGTTCGTAGAAACAAAAAACTAATAAGTTTGTCGATGTTTATCTTTGTATTCAAGGCAAATAAGTTTCGAAATTAAACTAGAGATATATATTCCTAATGTTCACAGTAACATTGTTGGTTGCCTATATAGTGACGTTACCGTCTATAGCATTCATAACAATTATTGAATATTAAATTAATATTTTGATTGAAACGTTTAGCTTACTAGTTTTAAAACAGTATATCTCAGTCTCATTACAACTGGATACATCAAGATGGGCCACGTCCACAGGACTATTACAAGGTGAGTCGGCGTTAAGGTCAGCCAAGCATTGATAGCACTTGTGACTGGCGTAACCTATAAAAGTAAATAATACGTTGTTTAACTAAAAGTTCTACATTTAACCATAGTTATACAAGTATAGAGAGCAAGAAGTATAGTGTCTCAAATGTTTCGGAAGGTCTGCGGATCAGAACTGCGTCGATTCCACCGCCATTTTCTTAGGATCAAGCGATGTGCCATGGTTGTTAATGGCTTTTATGATAGTCTTCTGTTAGTGTTGTAACGATTTTTTAAAAAAATACTGAAATTGACTAATAGCCAACTTTAATATGGAATATTTTAAGATTTTAAAAAAGGAGGGTTGAATGTCATACGACGTTTTTTTTTTCTTTCAAATGGTAATGTAAAAAAATTTACATGTGGATCCAACTTTAAGAAACAACACTGTATTAACGTTTTTGCACTCTTAGTTTAAAAGAATGCTGTTATAAATTTTAATAAACTGTACTGTACAGATTTATAATAAATATCTAAGTCAGGATCTGTCGTTAAATCAAAAATTGCTAGCCCAGACCTGCGAATAATCCTAGCAAAATGGCGTCGAGTAACAAACTTCTTCCTCTTTGTGAAAAACTATGACCCTTATAAATCAAAAAGGTACCGCCTGAGACTTGAGAGTAGCATTACTGATTGTTCTCTATACCGTGGTTTCAATGTTTTGAAACGGGTATTAAATTAATGTTGAAAAAAAAAATAAATATTCCTAATTTGACTCACCTGAATTAGGCATCAACAAGACAACAACAAATATTAAAGCAATTTGTCTCATTTTTTTATCAAAATTAGTAAAATACTAAATTATATAATACAAAATATAAATGAAACAATAATGTATATAAAATCTGCTGGTTAATTCCAATTTTTATGCGTACATTTTCAGATATATTTTTGACATTTAGATGACAATGATTGTTTAAAAATACATACCTATGAAGACTAGTCTTCATATTCGCTGCGTGCGAAGTCATGGAAAGGGAAGCAAAAGCGATACTAGCGCTAGCTGCGGATAATTCGTGCATTTTAGGACGATATTTTGTAATTTTGGCATATCAAATACACGTATACATTTTACTTTTTTTCAAAAAAAGTAGGTAAAAACAATACAATAAGCAAAACCGGAGTTGGTGTGTTGAAAATTGTATAAATACTAGCAAAAAACAGTGAAACTTATATAAAAAATTTCAGTAGCAAAGTGGAAATTAAATCAAAGAAATAAATGGATAGATATACAATAAGAAGGAAAATTGCCTTTATTTTTGTAATAATAACCGTAATGCTGAAAATAGTAGACATCAGAAACTTGAAAGGTTTTAAATCAACAATAAATTATCATTTTACCATGTTCTTTAATATCCCTTATTCTTAAATGTTCATTCAGCAAGGACTAGATTTCAAGATTTCTGCCTTTGATTATTATATGTGGTTGGAACGCAATTTTGTAACTTACTGATAGGAAATCAGTTTTAATCATTCATTCTATGTTTTCTTTCGAACAAAAATGAAAATATAAGTAATGATCCTTTTTTTATACATTTTAACTTCACGCTATTATTAAATGGTATTTTTGTATTTTGACAGAATTAGGCATTCCAACGACCTGTCCAAATGGCTACCAGCAGGGCTGGTATATCTAAGGGGGTCGCGACATAGACCCAGTAAGTGGATGAGGGGGTGACTGAAGCTAGGGGGGAAATAGTAGTCAGCTTAAGTTGGCAACACTTTTCTGATGTTCGTTTGAACGAGCATCGTGCATAATAAGCTGGATTGTCTCTGATAATAATGTCAATATGGTACAAGTGGAACACAGATTACATATGTGTAGTGAAATTGAGGTTTAACCCGAAAATATAAGGCTTTATTCAACTAAATTGACAGTGTCATATAAATTAATAACATTAAACAATTGAACATTCAAACATAATAAAGGTCGATTCACTACATTCTTCCCATGTTTAAAAATAATCGCCTAGGTACTTGGGTCTAGAACGGGTTCTTTCAGAACGACGTAACTCTTGGCATTGGTCTCCAGACTGTTCGGAAGTTTCACAATGACGGTTGGATGATTCCGGGATAGTTGGCATTTCAGTTAAAGGGTTGTCGACTTGCAAATTACTATCTTCACTACTACCTTCACTACTATCTACATTTATCTCTTCATGTTGGGTTGGGGCTAGATGCCTGTTTGAAATGGTAACTTCTCTGCCGTTTTGTAAGCGAACCAGTGAGTAAAACGGATTAGGTTGAAGAAGTTCAGCCTCATCCACTATGGGGTCATATTTACTTTGTCGGACGAGACGTTTCACTAATATGGGGCCTTGTTGAAGCCATGATGGTACTGACTGGCCATTCGCAGATCTTCTGGGGTGTGCAAACATCCTCTCATGCGGGGTCTCGTTTGTTGCCGTGCATAACAGCGACCTGATAGAATGTAAAGCTTGCTTCAGTACCAGTTCCCAGTATTTCAAGTCCCAATTCCTCGTTCTTAAGGCCAATTGAACAGACTTGAATATGATTCCATTGTATCTTTCTGTTTGCCCGTTACCTTTTGGATTGTATGGTGTTGTAAAGCTCGTAGCCACCCCTCTCTCCCTTAAAAATTGCTGAACTTCGCTTGATAAGAAAGATGCCCCTCGGTCGGAGTGGACATAGCTGGGTAAACCGAAAACAGAGAAAAGATCAACCAAACAGTTGATGACTGTTTTTGAGCTTAAATCTGGGCAAGGGTATGCAAAGGGAAATCTTGAAAATTCATCTACTATAGTCAATAAATAACGATTGTTTGTGTTCGTCGGTATAGGACCTTTAAAATCTATTGATAATCTTTCGAAAGGAGATGTTGCTTTTATAAGGGTTCCCGAAGTAGTAGCAAATTTTGGTTTGAGTTCTTGACACACTCGACAAGATGAGATTATTTTCTTAATATCATCTATAGAGTACGGCATATTTTTAGAACGCACCCAGTGAGCAAGGCGCGTGACACCAGGATGACAGAGCGTTTCATGAAGCTGGATCAGATTTTCAGTTCCACTAGTGACCATAGCCACTACTCTGGAGAGTGCATCGGACACATTATTCTCAGCCCCAGGGCGGTAAATTATATCAAAGTGGAAACATGACAGTTCTAAACGCCACCTCAGGATTTTCTCATTTTTGATTTTAGATGCATGTCTCTGATTGAACATGAAGCTTACGGATTTTTGATCGGTTATCAGTTTAAAGGACTTGGCAATCAGAAAATGCCTCCATCTACGTAGAGACTCAACTATCGCATATGCTTCCTTTTCTATAATGGAATGACCTTTCTCAGACGCAGACAAAGTCCTTGCGAAAAATGCTACCGGACGTCCATCTTGTGATAAAGACGCTGCTATGGTATGTTCCGAAGCATCTGTTTCAACGGTAAATGGAATGTTAGGATCAATTGAGTTGACTGCAGCCCTAGCAATATCTTGTTTCAGATTATTAAATGATGCTATAGCGGATTCTACCAGTGGAAATTTTTGTGTCTGTAATAGGGGTCGTATTTTTTCTGAAAACTTAGCTATATATTTCGCATAGTGAGCAAACATACCAATAGCTCTTTTGAGAGTACTTGAGTCTTTCGGTAACGGTAGTTCTAGTAAAGGTTTTAAGCGGTCAGGATCGGGTCTGATTGTGCCATTGGATATGTGATAGCCTAGTAAATGTATTTCTTTTATACAAAAAACACTCTTTTCTTTATTAAGTGTAAGATTGTATTTATTGGTAACATCGAGGAAGGCAGATAACTTTCTTTCGTGATCCTCTTCATCTCTTCCACATATGGTGATGTCATCCAAATATGCTACGACACCTTTGAGACGTTCTTTCTGAATAATTGAGCGAATAGCACGCTGGAAACAAGCAACGCCGTTGGTTACTCCAAACGGAATTCGACAAAATTGGTAAAGATTCCCCGATGCTTCGAATGCAGTATAAGATTTATCGTTCTCAACTATGGGGATTTGATGATATGCACTTTTAAGGTCTATCTTGCTAAATACTTTATGCTTAGCTACCTCTGCAACCACATCCTCCATAGCAGGTAGTGGAAATGCATCTAACAACGTGAAGCGATTTATAGTTTGGGAGTAGTCGATACACATACGTTTTTTATGACGTTCGTTGGAAGTAACTAATACTTGAGCTCGCCACGGTGACGAACTTTCCTCGATTATTCCATCTTTAAGTAACTGTGAAACTTCTGCTTCAATAAAGGTTAAATCCTCTGGTGAGTGTTTTCGAGTCTTGATGGCAATGGGTTTGCAATCAGGAGTCAGATAGGAGAATAAGTTTTGAGGTTCAACGTTAGCAGCTGATAGTGCACATACTTTGAGAGTCGGCCTGGGTCCTCCAAAGTCTAGTTGTACTTGCGAATGATTCTTTAGAATATCATGCCCTATGATAACATCTGCACATAAACCATTCAGTACCCACAAATCGGCTTCATAACTGTTTTGCAATAATTTTATATTAACTCTACAAATTCCAACAACCTTTGATTTTAAAAATGATGTAGCCATCGTTACTTCTTGTTGAGAGGGCTTCATGTGAAGACGGTATTGTTGAACAAGGCGGTTTTCTATGAAGCTACATGTACTTCCTGTATCAACCAGAGCTTTTGCAGCGTGTCCATTGATGACAATTGGTACAATAGCTTCTCTTAAACCCGAAGCAGCAGAAAGTATACATGACAATGTTCCGAGTTCACTTTCAGGTTGTTCTCCTTTGGTAATTGCGGATACGGTAGGTTTACTTCGACAGACTTTTGCGAAGTGGCCTTTCTTGCCACAGGATAGACATACTGTATTAAAGGCTGGGCATTTTCTGCGAACGTGCAGTTTGTTACCGCAAAAGTAGCAAGAATCTTTTGATGTAGATGGTAATGCATTTAAATTGTTCGAAGGAAAGGCGTTTGATTCACTTGCGAAGGCGCTGTTGTGAACTCTTGCAAACTCTAGTGCTCTGGCTTGTTGGTGCGCTTCATCAAGCTGGAGTGAACTGCTTTCTAGAAGTCTCTGTCGTATGGAGCTCGATGTCAAACCAGCAATAAATGCATCTCTTATACAGTCTTGTTCATTTTGTTCGGCAGATACTGCTTTGAACCCACATTCCTTGGCCAGAAGTTTTAATGATTGTATAAATTGGTCAATCGTTTCACCAGACTGTTGTTCACGCTTGGCCAGTTGATGGCGTGCATACGTTTCATTCTTTGGTTTTATAAAAATAGCGTCTAGTCTCGAAATAGCTGAATCATATGTCTCGGCGTCTTTTATATGATTAAAAACAGTTGCAGAAAGGTGATTTACCAGGAGTTGATACTTAGTTGCATCTGACAGAGGTTCAGGTTGCTGGTTTTCTCCAGTGGAGCTAGTTGACGAGGCTTTAAGGAAATTTTTGAAAGTTGTCTTCCAGTGTATCCAGTGAGAAGTTGTGGCGGAGTCAGTGTTTGATACCGGATCGATATCAAACCTCTCAGGACGCAGATACCTTTCCATATTTTAATTTAGTTGAATAAATTGTAGTGAAATTGAGGTTTAACCCGAAAATATAAGGCTTTATTCAACTAAATTGACAGTGTCATATAAATTAATAACATTAAACAATTGAACATTCAAACATAATAAAGGTCGATTCACTACAATATGGAATGAACCACTGTTTTTCTCGTAGTCGTTCAATGTCGAATTAAAACTAAAAACATTTTGTACTTTTTTATATACCAAATTATGCAATTTGTTTCCATTTTATTTTAATGTTACATGAATAGGTACATGCGTTTGTGCTGTGGTAAATAAGTGTTCATGTGAAAATTATATCTTAAACTACATTGTGACTGCACTCATCTCGAAACTGAATGCTGTAAATCCAGGATTTAAATCTTTCATAGTGTTGCTTGGGATAAATTGTAA